TCTGCCACTGCGCCGTTTCCCTCACTTCTCTCCAGGCTCTGTTGTTGCCTGTCAGCCTCAAACCTTTGCTCTTTGCCTTCCTTTATTCCCAGTCCTCAGCTTTTTATTCAACTGCATTCAACCTCCACATGGACAATCCAGCTGACTTCACGGAATTTTGCTTCATCCACCTACGTGTTAAAAGTGCAGTCCTGGGAAAACTCCTGCCCTCACTGCAAAGATAACCCTAATCCACCTGGACTAGCGAAGTGAGTACACACATTCACTCCACTAACTTCGTCATACCCCTGAGTTTCTGTTCTCTGTAAACTTGCTTGTTAAACTCACTTATATAATTGTTGTATCCCAGTCCTGCAGTGAACACCTTGACAGGAGTCTGCAGGCAGCTCTACATAAAAAAGCTGTGTGAATTCACCCATTCTGAGCCACTTTGCTTTTTATTCTTGAGATTAATACCTCCAGGATGCTCATCCCCAAGTACTGTTAATACAAATCAAGGGAAACGCTTTCAATGTATTAATAAAATGAAAAGAAGCTTATTCCCCACTCTCTTTCTTCTTCCCACTAGAAAACAGGGATACCCTTTCATGATTTTAGCATGAGTCTTGCAGTATTTCTTGCCTTTACTTATTCTTATTTAGAACTCAATTTTTGTATCCATTTTCCATAATCAGAATCCACTCTAAACTGGGCAAATATTTAAAGGGAAGGTTTTGGCATATTCTATACTGATTTTATTTTAACTACAATAACCAAACAAATGCAGTTATATTAACACAAAAGAAATGTTCACTTAATATTTTGTTTTACTTAGAAGTACATTTAAGAAGAAAGATGAAAATGTAAGAAAGAATGAAAGAAAGGGAAAGTCAGGAGGGGAAGAATAGCTTAAGAGCTTACCAGAACTTTGATTATACAGTATATTGAAAAGTTAGGTTAACAAAACAAAGATTTTATGGAAGAAAACGAATCATACTAAAATTATGTCACACTTCTACAGCCATTAAATTCAAGAAACTGCATGGTTTGTGTAACTATTCAAGCAACACAACCACCTTAAGTACAGAAATAAAATTATTGCCTTATTGTTCATGGGAAAGGGAGGTGAAGGTCAGAAGCGACTTCCTTATGCTCACAAGTTGTTGACACAGCCAAGGAGAAAACTGAACTCTCCCATTAAAGCCATGTTATATATTGAAACTGAGAAAGACTTGTTAAAGAAACTAATTTCTCTACCTGTTCCTAAACTAAAAAACTGTAACACAACAACGCCTCGTGCAAATTTTCCTACTGCCAGATACCACCTTCTCCACATTGCTGTGTACACAGCAGAGAAACGGAGATTAATTTTTTTCATCAAATTTCAAAAGGAATTATCATTTTCACAATGACTTAGTACCATTTTGTTGGTATTTTGGGGTGGTTGGCTTGATTTGGTACTTATGGGTTAAAGGGAACTACAATAAGAAATCACAACATTTTTTATGGAAAAAACCCCCAAAAAGTACTTTAAATCATCCATGTAAGAAACCAAGAATTTTCAGTCAGAACATGTAAAGACAGACTTTTCATTTGATATGTTTGAGTCAAAAAAAAATGAATAGCCTGATCAGCTAGCTCTAACAGCAACCACTTTGTGGTATCAGTAACAACAAATAAAAACTGTTTTACTTGTCCATATGTCAGAATCTCTCCTCTATTAATAGGGTCCTATTAACTTATTCTAAAGAGAAGAGTATCACTTATGGAGAAATACTCTTATTTCTTATGAAGAAATATTTTATCACAAAGTTTATACTAGTAATATAATAAGCATTTAATCAGCTTTGAAACTGATGAGACTAATGTCTTCCCATGGCTTGATGATTTTCATATTTATTGTAACATCCTGAGTTTTAGGTTCCTCCCTAGCCACTCACTAGACACCTGTCAGTCTTAACAGTAGAAAACAGAAGTGGAGTTTATGCATCAATTTTAGCTTTTCAGTATATAAATTACTGTCCCTTGGAAATTACAATAGGGAAAGCCAGATGGATGGATGAGTACACACAATTGGCTTCATACCTCTTGATGAACTCTGGCTTGTACAACTCATTTCCTATTACAGCCAAGTCTTAGCAGTATGCTAACTTACAGCAGTGACTCAGCAATCTTACATTAAGATTTTATAGACTTAAGAAAACCCAGCATTTAGTATAATTTTTCTCTAGAATTTCGAAGTCAGTTAATCTTTGCTTGATGTGAATCATCATCACTGCCTTAAAATCAATTGTACTATAGTAATTTACCATATCTTAAGATCTGACTTCCTTTTGGGTTTTGACCCATTCTTGTTGAAATCAAAACCAAAATTCCTTTTGAACTCTTTCTGTATTTCTCTTTTTCCCATCACTAAGGGGAAATGGTAGGATGAGAAGTATTCAGCCATGACTTAAGACTTAAGTCTAAGATTAAGAAATCAGAAGTGTTCAAAAGGGCCAAGACGTTTATATGGGTAATGAAGAAATTAATTGTTAGCTCACAGGTGGTATGAAAAAATATATATATAATGATCACACCTATATACATAATGTACATTATAAAACAACATGTATATAATACATATACAATGTATATGACATACCTGTGGTTTTTTCTCCCTGTGCCCATCTTTCTCTTTTTATATACATGTATATCCGTATTTGAATATATAGAGAATATATATGAATATATATAGAAATTCACAGGCATATTTGCTTCAAGAGTTTTAAGTCCTGTCTTAAACTGAAAAGAGCTGGATGGGGTATTTCCTAAATTTTGGGAGCAGATTTTCTTGGAGTTCTCCCCAAAACATTTTCTATTGATGACTGTCACAACACAGACACTTTAACAGATGGACTGTCAATCTGGAGAGAGAATTAAGTAGTGTGCCTTCTTTGGCTTTGTCTATGCTAAAGGAAAAAGATTTTAGCTTTTACCTCGAGTTCCTTTACTAAAAGCAGTCTCATGATTTAAAATATATCACACCCCGCTAACTACACTAGTTTTGTTTTACTGGTTAGTTAGAGTTAAGAGCATGAGTTCCAACCCCTCACAGCAGGTGGGCTGGAACCAAGTGATCTTTAAGGTCCCTTCCAATCTACACCACTCTATGAGTCTATGATTCTATGAATTAAGAATTGACCCACTTAATTACACTGAAAACCCAGCCTGTGCTTAGAACCTGCACAGGCTAGAGATGACCTCACTGCAACAATATGCGTGACTAAAAGCCTTTTTGCACCCTTCCTACTATGTATGCACCTATGCCACACTAGCTTTTCGCTGTCAGTAGTTGTTCATGTATCTCAAACATGCAGGCTACAAAGTTTGAATGCTCAAACCATGAAACTTATGCGAAGAACTGAAAGCAAGCCCTCTTTCATTCACAGTCGCCCACTCCTAGCTTTCCTCTCACACAGGATCACTAGCCTGGAAGCAACCTGAAAACCCAGGAAATTTTCCCTCTCAGCAGGCCAGAGCATATATAAGCACTTGCATAGGCTTTACTCTCAGATTTGCTTTTTTCATTCCTACCGGTGGGGGCCAACCAATCTGTCTGATAACACACCACCTTTTTCTAAGCTATCTTTATGTAGCAGTAGAGGTAGATCTGGATTCCTTCCGCATCCTCAGTCAGACACACACACTTTTGTTGATATCTACACTTTCCAGACTATGTGCAGGTTTCTTCCACGTGGATATCTGAGGATCCCCGGACTACCACAGGCCCCCCTGAGGAAACTAGGAGGAACAAGACTGTTGTCAGTAGACTTCATAGAATCACAGAATAGTAGGGGTTGGAGAGGACCTCTGGAGATCATCTAGTCTAACCCCCCTGCTAAAGCAGGTTCACCCAGAGCAGGTCACACAGGACTGCGTCCAGGCGGGTTTTGAATATCTCCAGGGAAGGAGACTCCACAGCCTCCCTGGGCAGCCTGTTTCAGTAAAGAAGTTCTTCTTCATGTGGAGGCAGAACTTCCTGTGCTCCAGTTTGTGCCCATGGCCCTTGTCCTGTCACTGGGCACCACTGAGAAGAGCCTGGCCTCATCCTCTTGAGACCCACCCTTCAGATATTTAGAAGTGTTTATAAGGTCCCCTTGTGATTTTGAGGGATTCAGAAATCAAAAAGGGTTGATAACCACTGGCTTGCACTTTCTGCTTTCTGAGTGGATTTAGTTTCATTAGCACCATAAAAAAACCCCAAAACCCAAACCCTAACCTTTCTCACTACACTCAGCTGTTTCAAGGCTTTCCCTGGAAGATTTATTCATACTTCGTGCAAATCCCCTCTCCTAGATAGTGACTCCCACTCTTCTGAACATGCCATGACAAGCTGGGGGAGTCAGTACATGTCCCTGCTGGGGAATTCTGTCACCACCAACAGGGGAGGTGAACAGAATAACTCCACGCCAACAGTCATGGGCTGGCC